ATTATATAATGTATTTACTACAGGGTTGCACTATACAGCCCAGATTCATAGCGATCCTCCTGTTTTCAGCCTCCCCAGCGCTGGGATTACAGGTGTGAGCCACCATGCCTGGACTCAGGGGCTGGCTTAGCATGCCCCAGGGGTGGGGCCGGCAAGGCATGTGGTGCCTGGAGTCAAACCATGCCCCTCCCACGCTTACTAAAGCAGGCCTTTAATCTGCTGAGCTATCTTGCCAGGCCCTTGGTATTTCTTTAGCCCATTTATATTTTCTAATTTTCCCTGCAACTAACATCTGTTTTTGTGCAATCAAAAAAAAAGTTTTAGATATCACTTTCAAGCTTCCTGCAATGTCAGTGCAAGATTTGGCATCTGTCCCCTGATGCTGTTAATAGTAATAAGTTTTATTTGAAATAACACTTATTTTTGGAAAACACAGGGCAACTGAGTTAACTATCATACTTTGAGAATAAAGATGAAGCAAGAAACCTGAAAGGAACAGGTGAAGATTTTCTAGGCAGATTTCTATTTTGAACCAAAAGTTTAAGATATATCTATCTGTATGAGCTAAGATGGAACTTTTCTGACCTCAGAAGGGGCTGAATTTAGCACTGAGCTAAGTCTCTGGGCTGCTTAAGAAGTCATCTAGCACAGAACCGCTAGTGTAAACTGGGACTCTGTATATTTAAAAGCTGTCCAGCAAGCACGCCATGTTCTTAGAGCATGCTGGGCTTGCCTTTCTCCAAGTGGTTTGACAATATTGAGAACTTCCCCAAGCACCACTGGCTTCTGAGTCAGCTCTCTGGTGACAGCCTTGAGTGCCATCACAAATGCCAGCTTGTGGACGTCCAAGCTCAGTCAAGACGTCCAGGCTCAGTTGAGACGTCAATAGCTGAAATGTCTCCTCATCGCTTGCTGTGCTCTTTTAGAAACTGAGGGTGGCCTTTCTCAGGAAAGTGGAGTTGTGCTCAATTGGACACACACCTCTTTCTTGTCATCCTGGGCGTAGTAAAATGCTCTTACGAGGTGAGAGGTGACTGTGATAATGGAGCTTGCAAAATTGTGAAATGGTGAAAGAGGTTGAATGCAGGCGTTCAAGTGCACAGTTGACTGGTAGTGTGTCTGGCACCTACCATGGGGTGCTCTGAAGGAAGGAAGGAAGGAAGGAAGGAAGGAAGGAAGGAAGGAAGGAAGGAAGGAAGGGAGTATACAGCTTTGAGAGATAGAAATCGCAAGGGCCAGCCAAATGGATTAAAGCACCTGCAAGCAGGTGCAGGGGCTGGGGGCTTGGTCGCTGGGCTGCCGTGCTGGCCCCGCCCCCGGGGTGTACTGAGAGAGCATTGAGACTGGGGGGTGGTGGTGTGTGCCTGTAATCCTAGAATTTGGGAGATTGTAAACAGGCAGATCACTACGAGCCCGAACTAGTAGTGAGATCCTGAACACCCTGTAGAACTTTCCCTAAAATAGTGAGAAAAAAAAGAGAGAAATACCAGATTCTGAATGGATTTTCATCATGTATCATCATCTTTATACATATAAATTGTTTAACCCCTTGTAGCTTCAGCCTTCTCATACATAAGACAGGAACAAAGCAAATGTCTCTCTGGTTTTTTTGTGTGTGTGAGGAAAAAGACAGTGAACATGAGTAAGTAACAGACCAATAAGCAACAGAAGCTCAACATTCCTTTCCTTCTGTTCACTTTCCAGGTTTGTTCCTGATAGTTGGCATAGACCAAGAATTCAAAACTTGTTTTGGTAAAGGGATAGACAGTATACACTTTAGGTTTTGTAAGACAGGAGTCAAAGTAGAGGCTCTTATGCTTACATAACAAAGAAGAAACATATTTCGGTCAATTCTCATTGATGAAATTAAGATTTTAATGGTAAAACTGGAGTACAAATTTTCTAATATAGATCCACTGATGAAAACAAATTATTTGTTGAGGAGATAATATTTCACTTAATTAGGCTCATGATTAGTGTCTCTTATAATCGGCTTGATGACCGTGTTCATCTGTGCAAACCATTCTTAACTTGCAGGGCATACAAAAAGAGGTAGTAGGCTGATCTTGCTCTACAAGCCATCGTATGCCAATCCTTCCTGTACAGCATTTATTAAGAAAGCCAATTTTTGTTTGTGCTCTGACCCTAATCATTGATGAGTAAATAATTTGAAATCATAATTTACATATAACCCACTGCTGCAAGGCTGTGATCTCCAGAAGAGGCTGAGGTAATTAAATCTTTAAATAAACAAGACTCTTGGAAACTAACAGAGCGCTTCATCTTATTTAATCAAATTTGGAAAATAGTAGGAAGAAATTACCAGGCTACACAAACTGACCACCTACAGAGAGCGATCAAGCAGTGAATGGTTATGAAAAAGAGGCTCACTTAAAGAGATTCTTTCTTTGTTTAATCAAGTAAGAAATAGGCATATCTGTTTTTAGGGATTGGGTAGCTAAAGTAGGGGTTAACATGTGGCACGAGTGTCCCTTCCCATTGTCCTTCCACTGAGCTGGATGCACAGACTTGGATTTGTCAGTGATACTACCTACAGATGCTCTATTGCTAGTGGGGTCATAAAGATATTGGAAGGTTTATTTTTCACTCAAAAGGGACTACATCTTAGAGAAAAACTAGTAGACAGTGGAAATTTAGCCAAAGAAGTAGAAGAAATTCAGGGGTGCATTAAAGTTAAGTAGTATGACAAGATATTTTGATAGCTCAGTTATGAAAGAGAAGAATGTCCATATTTCTGAATACTTAAGAGATGGATATGAGAAAGGATTGAAACAGATCAAAAAGAAGGGACTGAGGTATATTAAAAAGGATCAACATGAGAAAGTTGCTCACTCTTTACCATTTGTGTGATCCCATGGAGCACATGATTTGAAATTTAGTGAAGTCCTGTGGTTATTAACAGAGCCTACCACATCAAGGGTGCTAAAGCTGCTTAAGGCAGGAACTGTAAAATTTTAAGATAGTTGAATTGGGAAAATGCTACAACTTTCAACTTATTGGAAAATAGCCTATGTTGAGGCAAAAATATTTTAAAGTGCACTGTTTTAGCTGAAGAATAATAGTTAGCCTAAGAGTGTTTAACAAGTGAGCTATTGTAGTGGGCTAAAAAATATTATGTCTCTGAGCTGATGGCTAGCATGTCTTTTTCCACTTGTGTGTTAAGAGAGCACAGAGCCAATGGATCTTCTTATTTTAACTAACAAATGGAAAGAACACAATTACATAGAGATAAATGTCAAAGAGGTACAAATGTCAATGAAGTACATTTCCAAGCAAAATTTATTAGCTGTCTACTCAAGAAAAACACAATGATCTTTGCTTGTAAGAATTCAATTACCTGAAAGTCAAGTAGGAGTAGTTTTCCTTTTAAAACCAGATACAGAGAGTAGAAACAGTACTTTTTCTTAAATATGACAGGCAACAGATTTTGAAATCTTGTCTCATAAATGGCATCAAAGAGAATTAGTCATTTTTTTCAGCAAAGCTGCATGCAGTTGACTTAATTTCAAACCCAAAGCCTTTTAAATACAAAGCTGGTCATGAACTTGACAATAATCATGGTTAGCTACCCAAAGACGTTCCTTTACTTTATTCCTAGTGAAATTCCTCTGAAACCAGTATTTATGTACATTGCAGTTTGGCTGCTAGGGCCTTTTCAATCCATAGACTTTTGTATACCTAACAGAACCACACTAACAAGGTGCGCCTGGGATCTGTGTGGTACATGGAGGATAATCTTCTGAAAGAGCTTTAGCTTAGTCTAAGAGCAGGATAAAGATCAAATTAGGAATTTCTCCTGTTTTCTCAACTACTAAACAGTCTGTACAAAAAAGAACACACGTATGTACAAATTCTACAGCCTACATATTGTGAAAAGATCAATCGGTGTCCATGAAGAAATGCCATAAAAAGTTTTATCTATAAGGTGCTCAAGATCCAAAGAAGAACAGTTCTTATGAAAATTCATAAGAAATACAAAGCTAGTTTTCAGAGTATACACAATTTAGGCACTGTTAACCCTATTAAATCTTTCAGGCTCTACTTTGGGGCAGAAAAAAAAATAACCTGAATGATTTAACAGTCTCTAAAAAGTGCCCAATTTATTCCTAGGAAATATTTTACATATACCAATAAAATCAAGCTTAACATATTCCTTTTCTCAAATGTGGCCAGGATTCAGGGTTCCATAGAAGAAAAATAATTATAATAGTAAAAATAATTGTATTGACCATAATCCTTGCTAAAACCAGCCTTAATACTTGTGACGCCTCTGAAGTATTCTATTCCTCTAAAATAATGTGTAGGGTTTTTCTACATTTCCATAAAATGTACAACATGTCACATGGATCATATGTTCTCATACAATCTCAAATGTGCATGTGTACACACAGTGAAATCTTATCTACTAATATTGCTTACGGTTACTTTCAAGTGTCTATGTCAGAATAGTATTCTGCACCTCTCACTAACACTGCCTTTATTTAAATTTTATCAGATAAATAAAACACTAAGAGCTCATTGTTCATGATGCTGATGATTCCATTTTAATATAAAATAGCAATGCAACTTTACAACACAATAGTTTTTTTCTGTAGTCTACCTAACCCTTTTTTATTCTCATGGTAATTACCAAAGAGGATCGTATTCACTCACTGTACTTCTAAAAAGTACAAACAACTGCAGGAAAAGACTCTTCTTTGAACATGTACATTCAATGAATAAAATCACACCCATACAAATTAACTTTCCTACTCTTGCTTTAGGTTTTGCTATCATTGTGCATATAACAACATATAAGTGCAGGCAAACAGTAGCTGAAGTACGGTTGTCATACAGTGTAAACCAGGACACTAGGCAAACTTGTGAAAAGAAAATAGACTGCCAAGCTAAGAATGTGAAAATGCAAACCACAGCATTTTGGAATAAACCATCTTCTGGTTGCCTGGGGGAGGAGCATCTTCCAGATGTTGAAAGACAGCCAGGAGACCACAGAGCCTCTTGGAGACGTTTTCTTTCTTTTGTTTTCTTTCTCTCAACTATTTTATTCTTTTTAAAATATAACACTTTTTGTTCTGATCTCCCATATTGACTTTCCAAAGTTTAGGACAGAAAGCAGGAAGATGCACTTCCCTGTGGATGCGTGTGCCCTGTCTCCCCAAGGCTCACAGCGGCAGTTACTCTGCTGGTGGTTTGGTTTGGTGGCAGCAGGTGGAGATGGTGATGGTGCATTAGAAACGATAAGGCATGACAACGAGAGCCTGCGCAGATGTTTCAGGCAAGTTTATGCAGATGTTTTGCTGAAATGCGGCATACATAAGGAGAGTGATTCACAGCCTCTTGACATAGTTTCCGGGAAAAGTACCAAAGAATTTGGTTCTTCTTGAGGTTCCTGAAAACAGAAGCAATAAATGAAAAGGTGTAACAACAATGAAGTATTGCTTAATATATGAGAACTTGAACACTTTCCATTTACAAGGCTTCAGTAAGAAAGCAAGACCAGAAGGGTTTGGAAAGCAAGGAAAAAAAGATAGTAAGAAGAAAAAGTCAGCACTTTCAGCTATTTTGCCTGATATGCTCATTGCCTCCTGGGCATACACGATGTGCTTCAAGCTAAACAAAAAAGTTCAGCCTTTTGGTCTGAAGGGGAAGACAATCTTGTAGGGGAGGTAGGTGGTGGCACTCCAATCATCATGACTGCTAAAGAGAGCAAGGAATAAGGAACACATGTGGGTATTGGCAGTGTGACAGGATGACTGGAAACGCCCCAGATGAAGGGTTAGTTGGAGATAGGAGGCTTCCTCAACAAAAGTGGCAAACTAAGGCACTGTCTGGGACACTGTCAATATCAGAAGTTTTATTATGTCATGGTCAGTGCTATCTTATTCATTTGAAAGAAAGCATTGCCAGAGTTCTTAGTAAGATATAGAAAATTTGAACAACTTGCAGGGCATTCAGTCCCTGAACACTGTTTCTAATATAGTGAGTTCAACCAAATGCATGAAGAGCCTTCATTATGATTGCTTTTGCTTTCAAATTCCATTGTTTCTTGGATACTTCTTGTAAAAGTGAGAAAAACGAAATCCTTATTTGGAATTTCCAGTAAAAATATAGTGAAATAGGTGCTGCAAAATTTGGTTTCTCATTAGTGCTCTAGGATTTGTTATCTTAGTTTGGTGACATCCTCCATCCCACTCATAGGCCTCTTCACTTTTCCTAAGGATGAGGATTAATATAAGTAGATCAGAGGCTCTTGGCTGCAAATGTGCCTTAGTCTTTTCCTGCTTCTCACCATGGCAGGATTTGTCCACAGCTCTCCTTTCTTCAGAGTTTGCTCTTCTCCAACATTCTGTATTTGTTTGTTTGTTTCTTTTTTTCCCCTCTATTTTAGGGAAGGGTCTATAGGGTGTTCACGGTCTCACTACTAGATTGAACTCATAATGACCCGCCTGTTTACAGCCTCTCAAGAGCTGGGATTACAAGCATGCACCACCATGCCCAGTCTCAATTGCTGTCTCAGCATGCCCCAGGGGCAGGGCCAGCACAGCAGGCCCAGGAACCCCCAGCCCCTCTGCCTGCTTGCAGGCACTTTAATCTGCTGAGCTATTTGGCCAGCCCAACATTCTGTATTTCTTTTTTACCTTTTCCTGCTGTGTCCTGCATACTTTTGTGTACAAACATTTTCTCAGAATACCTCTGGTCTGCTTTTATAGCTTTCTTTGTGTGCTGGGGATTAAATCTAGGGTCCCCCCTGCTCAGCATATTCTCTACTCTGGGCTGTACACCCAGCCCTCTCATCTTTAACAGTGTGAAGAACAGAATTACTTTTGAAGTGGTAAGACTGGAACTTTTTCCCACTTTTCCCACAAATTAGAGCTAATTGGAAGCTTTGGACTTTCAGGGTAGCTATGTGAGACCTTGGAAATGGATTCGTTTTTCACTTTTCTCACTCTTTCAAATGAGATTATCACCATTGAGACTTTCTGTTGAGCAAAGTGTTGATATTTACCATCTTGGGGACATTTCTTGTTTTTGCAATTGTTAAATTGCAGCCCACCTTAATTGGTGTTATTGAAGGAAACTTTCTTTTCTCAACTGGGGAAAAACTAGCAGAAGGTCAGGTACACCTGAAGCAGTAAATGCTAAACTATATTTAAAATGCAATTAGGATTATGTAGCATATACAAATATTTGGAAGATCAGAGGCATAGAATTAAAAGAAAGACTGTCACGGTGAAACATGCAGTTGGGAAAACCCAAGCAAATCATAAGACAGCCAAATGCATGCGGAAGGGAATGTGCACGTACCAACAAACCACCCGTCATCACACTTCTCCATCACATCAATCACATCACTTTCTCTGAGCTCCAGCTCATCTTCGTTCCTAGGAGTATAGTTATACAGAGCCTGAAACCTTAAACAGGACAAATGGGTATGTTTAAATTTCTTTTACGTGTTTGTGAAACTAGACCATAGCATAATAGTCATTTTACTTTTAACATTTCTTTCTTTCTTTTTTTTTGAGGAACTGAGAATTGAACTTCTATTTCTATTCTTACCTGCACACTATATATTTGATAGTGTGTCTTTGACAGACATACAACATCAATAGAAATTTACTTGGGGTTTCCATATGACTTAGACTAATAATATTTCAAAATTCATAAGGAAGAATATTCATGGATGATTGCAATGTATGTGAATTGGATTAGAACACTTTAACATTTGTAGGTCAGACTTGCATTTTAATTGTCTATTCATTTAATGTCTATCATTCAGAGACTAATTATGCAGCTCTGTAAAAACAAGATGGAATCACAACTTTAGCTTTAGCTAGCCATAATCACAGGCAAGTAACAGAGGCATGCAAATAGAATTTTCAAATGATTCTATTTCGAGATGTATGAACTCTTTTAGATATGTCTAAATGACTGTGTGGGAATTAACTTAAAAAGGAAGTTATTTCCGCCAAAGGTAATTCTTGCAAGCAAATTAATTTTATAATTTGAATTGGTGTTTTCTTAACTTTTAGAATTTAAAAATCTGATGCACTTCACCTACGCAGTTGACTAGATGCAGTCTCTGTGCAGAGTTGATCTCAAATGGTAGATTATGGACCTAGACTTTTGAAGAGGTAGGTTGGATTTAAAAACTCCTTTGAAGTAATTTTATACAAAAATTACTGATGGAATGCTATCACTTTCCTTTCCCTGTCTGAATTGTTTGAGAGATATATTATGATGACATCTATCAATTATAGATTTATTCATTGAATTTATGACAACAAACAGTAGGTATTTTATTGACTATAACATGGACTGGCACTTGGGAAAGAAAACATGGAAATGATAGTGGCTGAGAAGTTTGGGAAGTATGTGATATAGTTAATGTGGAAACCTGCACATTACTGAAATTTCCAGTACTACAAGGAGGATTATTTGAAAAACTGATAAATTTGTTATGGTGGATCTTTTTTTTTTTTTTTTTTTTTTAGGAACCAGGGATAGAACTCAGGCCCTTGTGCTTGCCAGGGAAGCACTTATTCTACTGAGCCATCTCCCTGGTCCGTCAAATTTTTATGTATTTAGTATAGGGTCTACAGGATCTCACTGAGCAGATCTGGCTTGTAGTGATTCTCCTGTTTTCAGCCTCCCAAGCGCTGGAATCACAGGCACGCACCCCCAGGCCCAGTCTCAATCACTGTCTCAGCCTGCCTCTGGGGCAGGTCCAGCACTGCAGGCCTGGGGATTGAACCCCAGTCCCTGCCTCTGCCTAAGCAGGCGCTTTAGTCTGCTGAGCTATCTGGCCGGCGGATCTTTGTAATAGTCTTAATTTTGCTGAAGGTTAGAAAACAAGAAAGCTATTCTGACATACTTTGAACTTCTTTAAGCCATCCTGAAGAAGTTGGTGATAATGAATTGAGCCCTGGAATAAAGATGATTTATTTCTAATTATTGAATTAGACAATCATGTTTTGGTAGAATAAAAAAAAAATTCTTTTGCTTTATAATTCAAATAGCATATTATAAATAAAGAATACTAATGTACTGGCTTCCTTGTTTGTGAACTTGTCCAGTTTGGTATATCAGGATAAAGGTGGCTTCAGGAAATTCTAGGAAAGAGCTGGTAGGATATAGTGCCTAACATCTTGTCCAAAAACCTTATCTTTCCTGGCCTGGTACCAAAGCCTAAAATTCCAACATTAGAAATTTCTTCCCCTGTTTAACATTAGTAAACAATTTTAGCAATTTATACTCTTTTTTTATACTCTTTTGAGAATAGCCTGAGATCTTTTCTTGGGGGAGGATTATAATTGTGGCCAATGGCAGAAAAATGCAGCCTGAATCCCAAAATAGTGGTTAAGAAGACTGGCAGTGTTGAACTGATTTGGATAGTCGCATGGGCCAGCCTTAGTGAGAATAGTGAAATTGCTTTGTTTCTGTAGATTTGGTTTTGAGGTTGGCTGGTCAGGAGTAGAATGATCCTTTTTGCACATTAATGGGGGCAGTTGATTTCAACATGGCCCAACATTTTCAAGAGATGGTCAGTTCTGGCTGCTATTTCAGGTGCATACACTTTGGGGAAAGTGATTCTCTGAACTGAGCTGCTCCACGTTCAGCCTCCTTGCAGGCACATCTCCAAGCACTCATGGAGACAGGCGGCCTATTTAAGGCCACAAACCCCAGCTGCCTGAAAAATCTCAAGGTTCCCGGAGCTAACAATCTAAAACTGGCACAACCCCTACTTCATCTTTGCATGATGTGAGCCAGAATGCTTGTCAAAATTTACTTACCACTCGGGCTTAATTAGACCACACACACACAAAATAAACTTTTGAAAACAAACAGATCTTCCTGAAATCTTTCTACCTCTGCTGGCTTTCGAAATCAGCATTGCACGACAGGAAATGTAGTCAAATTACAATGAAAAGTGATGTTTTGGAAGATGTGTTGGATGAGATGAACGATGATGGTGCAGTCAGGATGCCTCACAAAGAAACTTGTTTTTAAATGGGAAATGCTAAGCCAAACTTGGTCATGTATCTTGCACCTTTCTCTATAACACGACATGCCAAGAACGAATTGTATGGATACAACTTTATGTTCCTACCTTTGCACAAGACCTGTGTTTTTCTTTTGATTCTAGGGATTCAAACCAAGGCCTCACACATGCTAGGCAAGCGCTCTACCACTAAGCTACATCCTCAGCTCCAAACCTGTTTTGAAATGACATTAAACAACATCTCATAATCCTTAAGGCTGTAACCAAATGGAAATTTAATGAACAATTAAATAGGGAAAATGTCTCCGGCCAGTAGGCGCTGTAGTTTTATACCAACCAAATGATCACACTGCATGGTACATAAAACAGTGTTACAAAACATACTTTATGTATTTATATATTTACATAAACTCCTTTGAGCATTACCAACATTAAGGCATGTTGGTAATGCAATAAACAGTCATGGAATTTATTTTTATGATGTGAGTCTATCATCATTTTTATAAATAAGAGAACAAACAAAAATTTTAAAGGCAATGTGTGATACCTTCATATTGGCTTAATTTCTATATCAGAAAGGAGAAGAAATTTGGAAGTAGTTTGAAAAGGCACATTCTAGGTGCTGTGGAAGTAATATCATATAACTAAATGACACTATTTTAATATGTCTATTTTCAAAAGACACTTAAAGATATGTAACTTTTTATTTTTTAGTATCAGGGGTCAAACTCAGGACCTTGTGCATGCCAGGCAAGCACTTATTCCACTGAGCTATCTCCCCAGTCCAAAAATATGCAACTTTGGAATGGTATTATTAAAGTAAACTAGGTCTACACTCTAAGTACAGTAGGTGGTAAAACAATTTCAGGGCCTTTCCTTGTATGTCTTCAAAGCTGTAGTTATTAGTTACATAGCCATCAGAGTAGAAGGAGAGTAGACACATCTATAAATCTTTGGAATCACTGCAGTATTGGAAGATTTCCTTAGTGTATGAATAAAAATATTCTCTGTTTTCTTTTAAAGATTAGCATTTGATCTCTGCCATTAAAATTGGAGATAACTGCAATTTCTTCAAGTTGAGAGTTCTCATGATATTTATTCTGACCTCTTTTACTTGCAAAGTTGTATTCTTGTTTTGGTATATCAATCACCTATCTTGTGGGTCAAAGTTAGTCTTGAATTTAGAAGATAAGAAGAATACTTACGGTTCCCCCCCACCTTGAATGTTTTCATGGGTAAACACAGGACGCTGTGGCTGAAATGAAATGATTTTCAATGTAATAAATGTTTGAACTTGTACTAATTAGAAGATAATTTGGATAATGGCATGATACTTTTCTTGACATTTAATATTTCCTGTTATAAAAAACCAAGAGGAAGAAAAAAATCACCAAATAAAGGGTTTCTGAAGGATTAAGAGCTAAAATATTTTGAAGGATGCTTGAAATTAAATTTAAAAAAAATCCAGGGTTCAAATGTTTTGAACACATTCCTAATGTAATCTGCTCAAGCTTTAAGGGAAAGTCAGGATTTAGTCCCATTGATTTTTCAAAGGTCAGGAACATGGCAAGAACATGGACACCAAACTGGTAGGATAAGCAGGATAGACACCTTCATACAGCCTTAGTCTCCAGAGCTTTCTCAAACAAGCAGCGAGTGAGCCACATTTAGTTTAACGGCAAAATGTCTACGGTCACTCTGTAAATTTTTCCTCCACAGACAGCATTCCCACGGACAGTACAGATGAAGATACCAATAGGCAGACATCCCATGCTACACTTGAATTAACATTCTGTGTTCTCCATGTGGAGAGGGCACATGCATTTTTCAAGAGAAAACAGAGAACTTTAAATAAAATACAACAAACAATATCCAGGTAACATGTAACATTTTACCTTAGAAGAGAAATTTTGGTAGAAATTTCCAGTGCACTGAACTCTCAAAAGAGTTTCCTTTCTTTTTAAACTAAGCATCAAGACCAGTATCTGTAATAGATACTTATAATATTGGAAATGACAGGCCTTAGCACCCCATATAGCCACATAAATACTTCAATGAAGGAAAGTTAGTGCATTTATTGAATACATAAAACATGGTGTAACTTATATTGAGTATCTCTGTGTTACACTTTAGGAAAAGAAATGCATACAACTCATTCACAACACTTATCTACAGCATCCTTTTCTGAATGATAGCTACACAGTGCAATAAGAAAATCAGAGTTTGCATGGCAGTTATGTAAGTAACTTTTTGATGGCTACTAAGTTAGTTTCTAGATCCATATAGTTAGACATCAGGATGAGTTCTTGGGTTCTCATAGTTATGACTGAATTATTGATAGCCAGAAATTTCTTCCTGAGAAATTTCTATAGAAGCAATAAGTTCAAGCTTAGGTGGGGAACCCTGAAATTTTCTTTAATATAAGACTATTATCTGCCCCATTCTTAAATTTTTTTAACTCTCCTCCTATCTGTACTGTCCCAAGACTGCATTCTAAATAGTTTCACTAGCAAAATTTCAAGAATTACGTGGAAGCACTCACTAACAATATTTTTTGCAATTTTACTTGATAATCTTTAAATGGAACATATAAAATTAGAACTAAAGAGTGGGTGATAATTACTGGACACCTGGATGACTTGCGATGATAAAATAGTTTACTCTTATTACTAACAGTGTTTTTTTTATGTATTTGGTACAAGGTCTACAGGGTCTACAGTGTCTCACTACAGAGATTGGACTCATAGTAATTTTCCTGTTTTCAGCCTCCCAAGCGCTGGTGTTGCAGGCACACACAACCACATGTCTCAATAGCTGTCTCAGCATGTCCCATGGGCAGGGCTGGCAGGGCACGCTGAGGATTGAACCCCGGGTGCTGCACTCTGCCTCAGCAGGCACTTTAGTATGAGCTATCTGGCTGGCCCTGTTTTGAAAATTATAAAATATGTTATTTAGGAATGATTAAGACTAAATCACTTCCAGACATTTCGAGATGAGGATATTACATTTCTTCAAGTTCCCTTTTAATTAATAGTATGTTGTATCTGGGTAAACCATTTGTTCAGAAGAGTTGTATAGATTACAGGTCATTCCTGCTGTTTTGTAAAAATTAGTTTTCTTTCCCAGTTTTGTTTCATTTTAAATGACTTCAGAATAATGTTCTCTCACATTCATCGCTACATATGATAGCTTTCTTAACCATTTCTTGTTCTCTTTTATTTTGAAATTAAGATTAACCTAATTTTTTACACTACCCTAAATAACAATATTATAAACATTTTTATTCAAAATGCTATTTTCTTGTTTTGAACTATTCTTTAGAATACTTTCCTGGGAGTAAAATTTGGGGTCAGAATATACATCCAAACCGTATGATTTTCAGCATTCATGTACATCCCTCCAAAATACTGTGTGTATAAAAGAAACTGCAAAAATATCTCAGATGCTCTATTTCAAATCACCAAGATTTCATAGATACTGCTTTCTCACAAATCAATCAGCACCATTGCAGTGCACAACAAAATTATAGATATGAAAAGAATCTATTTTCTTAGAAAAAAATTTAAACTATTTCATTATGTTTTTAAAAATGGTATGCTTGTTTCCACATATTTAAATCATTCTAAAATTTTAAAATTGGGTAGAAATTGTAAGTTTAATGCCACGGAATTCAGTGCTTGGTAAAATTGGTTGATCTATATTCATAGCTCCTTTTCATTAAAATGTAACTACAATTTTAAAAATTAAGCCGAAGAGTAATAAAAAGCAGACAACTTTTAAGGTCTGTATATACCCCTTTAGTTATCACCTCTATGATTCTGCTAGTTCAATTAATTCAGTTCACTTCATGAGTCAATAAATAAACTATCTTTGACAGTTACGAGCACTGGGCTATTGCTCTGAGTGTGCAGCTCCTTTAATTCGACAGATCTCTACACATCAGGAACGTGTGTCCCTAGGTGTGTCAGCCAGTAGTGTCCTTGTGTTAATCATCTTTCCAAGTGTGTCTTTTACTTTCCTTCCTATCCTTTACAACTTGGCCTTCCTTCCCCACCCCAAAACTGCCAGCTTGCTGCTTATACACTCATCAGATTTGTCATCACTTTTGTTGGCACTGAATTTGTGTATCTCTGATTATAATGGCAAGACCTGAAACTTTCAAAGTTTACCTTTCATAGGAATCACCTTCATGTTAACTAGGAGCTATTTCTGAGGGCAGGTGGCCAATTATATGGTGTTTGACTACTTTGAAAGCATTTGAGCAATGAAAGGATCAGTGCTGTTAATAGTTATTCATGAGGGCACATCTGTGTCTTTCTATTTGGGGCACCGACTAATATGGGCACATGCTAGCTTTCTTATCTCTACACTCAATGAAGCAGACAAGATAAAGCTCAATCTTTGCCTCCTTAGGGAGGCCATAAAAGCATCTCCAGTTCCTCAGATCATTTCCCTGCCTGTAAAAGTTGCTTTTCGTCAATTTTACACATTCAGTTATCAGTGAGCTGTAGCTAATTCTTATGTGCCTGAGTTGCGGTAATGACTGGTGGTAATAGTTCCACTTCATTTTGTATATCACTAAGACAAAACCTCAAGATACTGGATAGTTTAAGATGACAAATACATAAAAAGAAATGGAATGATAATTTTGACTATTCTTTATCGAATAAAATATTACCATAACTTATTGAAAAGCCAGTATTTTTATTTTGTTCCTGAAACAGGTGCTTATTTTTACATGATATTCTAACAAATTAGCTCAGGAGTTTCTTGTGTCCTTTCTCGCTAGTGCTGAAACTTAATGCACGCACACCCAACCCTAGGCACTGTACTGTACCTGCTCTCTATTGCCACTGTGACCTGAGGCAGCAACAAGCCTGAAATGATTTTGCCCTTTGGTTTACTTTCATCAAACTCCTTCAGCCTGTATTAATTCTGAAAGGCTCTTTTAAAGACCACAGAAGGACGTGGAATAGATACTTATCTATTCTTCTGAGCACTTTTTACCCTTCCCAGATTTCAAATTCTTGAGAAGGAATCATTTGTTAGCCACCAGTATTTTTAGTCTGTGTTCATTTCTATTTTAACTGTCTGCTCAGGCATTTCTATTACTCATAACTTCTTAGCTGTGCTGGGATAAATATAGAACAATATACATTTGTGACATTCAGAGAGGCTTACATGAACTTTGAGCTTAAGAAAACGGTTTTCAAATTAACACATTACTGTCATTGTGCTGGAAATTTTGAGCAAGAATTGTGTCCTGCTTCTATTTCCTTGATGATCTTTAGAGTACTGTGAGACTTAAGAAACCCAATGAAGCATCATGGTATCCTATAAACGTTTACTTTTCCCTTAGCACTATAACACTATAACTTTTTCCCTTGTTACTGAAGCTATTTTTTTGTAATGCTGTAAAAAATGGACACAAAAGAGATAGGGTTTCAACATGTGGTAATTTTCAAAGCCATTATCAACCATAAGCTACTGCTTCTAAGACAGTTGTTTCGAAAGAGCCTAGATAGCTCAGGGACATCACTATAATATATAGTTAGCTGTTTCAGGTTATGAGATATAGTCCGTGCGAAAGTCATCTGTTTATGCTTCTGCACAAGTTTCTCTGGAGGGTTAGCTCTACTTTGTATTAAATAATTCTTAAATAAGAATGGATTATCACTTTAAATAATAATGGGCAAAAATCTTTGAAACCATATTAAACTGTTTTAAAGTATGTAAATCATTTTCTAGAAAATTATAGTTGTAGTGTTGTCACAAAAGTTAGATGACATTCTTATAATAAAAGTACCATATATATATTTATAGCCTTATTTTTCTTTCTGAAATCATGAAGGTAAAACATAACTTGCATGAATCAAAAGAAAATGGAATATTTATGGTTCATACAAACACATGCAGTCTAGCATAGAAAGTTATAACATAAATATCTGGCCAAGAAAAATTGTAAGGTGACCCAAACCATATTATGTCAACGCCCCATGCAAATTTATAGATGGGCTCTGTTAATTTTGGGAAAAACTCTGTGTGTGTGTGTGTGTGTGTGTGTGTGTGTGTGTGTGTGTGTGGTTTTGGCTCTGGAAGGCTGTTAATCGAGCCTATGAGTCTCTACGAATTGACATTCCCTTTTCCCTGTGGCAACACAAGTTTTGCTTCAGCAACAAAATGTGATCTTATTCTGCAAAGCAAAAGGCACACAATGACATAAATACAGACCAGAATCTACATTTTTTAGAAAAG